GAGAGAGAGAGAGAGAGAGAGAGAGAGAGAGAGAGAGAGAGAGAGAGAGAGAGAGAGAGAGAGAGAGAGATGGCAGGTGTGCTGGAGGTTGTGCGAGCGACAATCGGAGGGAAGTCGGTCGTCGTTCAAGAGACGAAGGTCGAGCGTGGGAAAAAGTGAAAGCGCGGGATGGAGTTCAGTGATGCCACCACTCGAGTGACCACTCGAGTTTACTATGTCCTCGTGGAGGGAACACTTGCGATGAGGATGGACGGTAGCTTGGGGTACAGCCGGGCCGACGAGTTCGTTGATGTCATAATGTCCGTGAAGAACCTGTCGGAGGTTGTCCCGAACGAATGGCGTCTTCCCCAACATGACGTTGTTGGTGATATCCTTTAGTACATTGTTTCCGCCATCACCGAGGAGCACGCCGCCAACATGGATGGGAACACGTCGTGCGTGGCAAACCTCCAGCCTCCTCTCGTCGAGAGGCGGTACTTGCATGGCACAGTGCAGGTTTGGTACCCTGATGATGATGTGGAGGCCGCGCACAGGTGATGGTAGGGGGCACTTTTGTTCACAATGGTCGAGCAGACAGGTCGACAGCCGACGACGTCCTCATACTTGGATAAACGGATGGATGGTGGCGCTTCTAAGTTACGTGCACTGACAATGTTTTCAGGGAGGAAGGCGCTGGTGGTCTTGAAGGCCGTCTGGAACCGACATATCTTGCAATGTTCTCGGGCGTGGGTAATGACACAAGGGAATCCCCCTCTGCACGCAGCATTCATAACGGGTGAAGGGGTTTCGTTGGGAGTAACAGCATGTATCATTGGGGAGAGGGAGTGTAGTTCACTGTTCCCATTACATGTTTAGAAGGCCGACCTACTGATGCATGCAACGGGCAATAGCTGTGCACAGTGCAGGATACATGCTGGATAGATAGAGTGCTGGAACATCTTCAGAGTGTAAAAACTGATATTCCTTCGGAGTGCAAAACTTGTATGCCCTCCTTGGGATTTTAATTGTGATTGCATTTGCATATCGTACTTCCTGTCTTCTTTGCTGGCTCCGTTAGTTTCCTCTACATTTCCTGTTCACTAATGATAATGACATATCAAACTCCTTATTGTTTGCACATGAATGTTCACACACGATTCTGCGATTTGTTTGCTGCTGTGTGTATGGTGTGTCATGTTTCGGGTGCATGCCAGTCGTCACTTGTGGAGAGAAAACAGAGAAAATACGAAGGGAAGCGCGCACGCCAAAACCTTTTTTGTTTTGGCCACCTAAAGTTTGGCCGTTTGGTACTACATGCCCAAAACTTTCCATGTGGGGTACTACCGGCCCATGCGTCCCTTGAACGGCCCTACCCAATCATGAATCTGGCATACAAACAGGACCAGATTCATTCCAATCTAAAAGAGGGCGAGGGTGGTACCCCGAATGGAAAGAAAGAGGCCCAAGTACAGACAGACAGGGGACTGTACGGTACCTTGAAAAACAGTGGCCCTACCGTTTCATGAATCTGGTGCAGAAACTGTGCCAGATTCATTGTCCTGTTACAACAGCCCAATTGATCTGTGGCCACGGTGCGAAGGTGCCTTTCAACCAGGGGGAAGTTGTTTGGGCCTGTAGTACCAAACCGCCGAACTTCGGGCGCCCGAAACCAAAAAGGTCTCGGAGTGGGCGCTTTCCACCAATTATCCCAAATACGAATGCACATCTGCAAACATTGTGTGAGCGTGCCGCACACAACCACACTTGCAAAGACACACACACACGCTTGTGATAGCACACAGTGTCACACGCATGTATGTGACACTGTGTGTGTTTGCAAGTGTGTGTATGTGTGTATTTGCAAGTGTGTATGTGTCTTTGCAAGTGCGTGTGTGTGTGGAACATTCAAGAGAGAGAGAGAGAGAGAGAGAGAGAGAGAGAGAGAGAGAGAGAGAGAGAGAGAAATGGTACCAAAACGAAGTTAAGAATTAAAAACTGGCGAGAAAATGGAAACACTGTGAATGATGAACCAAACATGCCGTGAAAACGGCGGCATGGCCACTCCATGCCCATCTAATCATTGCTGCCATTAACTTTTTTTTATACCGAATGGTCGCAGACTGTTGTTTGAGAAGACCGAAGTCAACCATACGTTGTGCATCCTGAATGATGAAGAGACACGTAGTCTGGTCTTAGGGGACTGCCATGACACCGAAGGACATTTTGGTTGGAGGAAGGCGTTTGCAACCCTCCTACTACGGTCATACACATGGCTCGGTATGAAACACGACTGTATCGCATATATCCAAGGCTGCAAAGTCTGTCAGCGGAACAAGAGCTCCACGCAGCCTCCCCTAGGACCGTCGAAGCCTTGCCTATCCCGTCAGGCCCCGAGGAGTCCGTATCGATTGATTACATGGATGCAAAGGTTACAAACTTACGAGTAGAAGCGGTGAAAGGCAAGTGATGGTCATAGTGGATAGATTCAGTAAATTCGTCGTTTTCGTCCTGTTGTCTGCCCGGACAGGACCGAATTAGTGATTAGCGAGTTCTTCAATCATCGAGTCAAGAATTACGGGAACCCCTTGACCATAGTTAGTGACCACGGTACTAGGTTTACTGGCCAGCACTGGTAGCAACTGATGAAAGTCTAGGGGTCTAAGTTGACCATGTCATCAGACCGTCATCCCAAGACTAACGGCCAAAATGGACAGATGAACAAGCTGCTGCAGCAAGTGATACGGATGTACATTAGACCAGACCAGGAGGATTGGGACGAGCACTTCCCTAAGGTAGCAAGTGTGTATAACAATTCAGTATGCTTAGCTACCTCGCGGATGCCTAACGAACTACATAGAGGATGGCTTTCTAGGCGGCCTATAGAATGTCTAAACCCGGACCGGATTCAGAGACTTCCGCCCGGTACAAGGGAGTTTGCCATACAGTATGAGAAGGACTTGAAACGCATCACTGAGAACATTAGAAAGGCCCAACACTAGATGATAGAGCAAGCTAATAAACATTGTCGGTCATCGCAGTTTGCTGTAGGTGACTTAAGTCGAAGGAATTCCTCCCCGAAGAAGGCATATCACA